CTTTACAGAAGGGTCACAAGGAAGTGACGAGCCAGTCTGGGTGCAGTATAGCACTGATGAAACATACAACTTTCCTCTAGTTCTTTAATGCTTCCTGCCTCCCCTCAACTATCATGACCCCAATTTTACCTTAAAAATTCGGCTAAACCAGAACATGTACACTGGTACAGATAAGAGCTCACAACACAGGGAATCCAGGACAGATAACCCCCTCAGGACCAATACCAGAAGGGTAGGGGGAAGGTGGGGGGAGCAAGGGGGAACTGATCACAATGATAGACATATAACACCCACCCACTCTCTAGGGGGACGAACAACAGATAAGTGGGTGAAGGGAGACAGCGGTCGGTGTACGACATGAAAAAAAAATTATAAATCATCAAGGGTTCATGAAGGTGGAAGGGTGGGGGGAGGGAGGGAAAACAATGAGACCTGATACCAAGGGTTCAAGTAGAAAGAAAATGTTCTGAAAATGATGGCAGCATATGTATGAATGTGCTTGACACAATGGATGGATGGATGGATTGTGATAAGAGCTATAAGAGCCCCCAATAAAATTATTTATAAAAAAAAAAAACAACGAGGAAAGGTGTGAGACAGGGTTGTATCCTCTCCCCACACTTCTTCAATCTGCATGCTGAGCCAATCATCAGAGAATCTGGATGATATGAAGAAGACTCTGGCATCAGTAGCAGAGGGAGGCTTAGTACCAACCTGTGGTCTGCAGATGACACCACCCTGCTTGCTGAAAGTGAGCACTTCAAGCACTTGCTGACCAAGATTAAGGATTGCAGCCGGCAGCACGGATCACAACTCAAAGTTAACGGAGACCAACATTCTCAGAACTGAACAAATAAGTACCATTATGATAAATGGAGAAAAAGATGGACGTTATCAAGGATTTTGGTCTTGCTTGGCTCCACAATTGATGCTCACAGAAGCAGCAGTCAAGAGGTTCAACAATGCATTGCACTGGGCAAATCTGCTGCACGAGAACAGACCTCTCCAGACTGTTGAGAAGCGGGGAGGTTACTTTGAGGACGAAGGTGCGCCTGACCTAAGCCATGATATCTTCGAAGGGCCTCATATGCTGGTGAAAGTTGGACCCTGAAAAAGGAAGACCGAGGAAGAATCAATGCATTTGATTTGGGGTGCGGGCAACGAATATTGCAAGCACCATGGACCGCCAAAAGGACAACTAAATCTGTCTTGGAAGAAGGGCAGCCAGGGTGCACCGTTGAGGCCGGGACGGTGATCTTATGTACTTTGGACATGTTGTCAGGAGAGACCAGTCCCTGGAGAGGGCAACATGTTTGGCAGAGGGGCAGTGAAGAAGAGGAGGGCCCTCAATGAGACAGATTGACACATTGGCTGCAACACTGGGCTCTGAACTCAGGAATCACTGTGAGGATGGTCCAGGACCACACACAGTGTTTCCTTCTGTTGGGCATCAGGTCACTATGGGCACCTAACAACTAGTTCCCCACAGTTGGGACAAATAAGTCTGGTTTTTAGGGGTTTTTTGTTTTTAAAATTCTTAGCACTTCTACCCTTCTTGAATTCTCAATTTCCTGTGCATTGAGATACAAATATGTTACTTATTTCCCACATGGCAACCCATTTGTCCTGACAACTGTTCTGATCGATCACCGCTTCCTCCCATTGCCGAGTTGCTTCTGTTTTTTTTGTGAGTCCTGATAAAGCTTGGAACCATTTCTAGAATCTCTCCGCTATTCCATTCATCTGATGGATTTACCAGGCTCCTGGCACGGCACAACAAGACAACTCTAGAGGCTTAATTTCTAGCTTGGCTTCTCCACTGGTTACCCTTTCCTTTAGTCCTCCCATTGCCCATGGCACTGCGGACTATCCAATCAGTCTTGGGGAGCCCTGGTGGCATAGTAGTTACGTGTTCGTCTGCTACCCGCAAGGTTAGCAGTTCAAAACTACCAGTTGCTGTGAGGGAGAAAGATGAGGCTTCTCACGCCTGTAAAAAGTTACAGGGACAGTTAAACCCTGACCGACAGGGTTGCTATGAGTCAAAATTGACTTGATGGCTGAGTTTGGGGTTTTTCGTTTTGTTTTTTATTCCTGCAATAACTCTTATTGGGTCATGGTGTGATGCCAATAAAATGCTTCTTTTTGAATGATGGAAGGGCGAAACCATGCAG